TATATATATAGTTTTTATAATCAAGGCATTTTAAAAACTCCATCCCACTCCAGATTTGGAGCTGATAAACAAGTTGTGGTAGGACCTCAAGAGAGCAACAAACCTTAACGAGCAGAAGCAATAATGTGTCAGATATCCTTCATAAAAATGTAAAAATATTAATATTATTTAGACCGTTTTGTAGGAAGTGTTACTGAATAATGTCCTGAGTTTATCTTGCACCTTTTCACCATTTAGTTTTATTTTGCCCTGAAATATTTTCCATTTAACTGCTGACTTCTTTGACATTTGAATCTATTAATTTTTTATATAAAGCATCTTACTCTGTTTTGGTAATTTTCCCCTCCTGCCTGTCTCACACTTTATTTCTTGGTCTTTTTAACCCTGAAGTCAGCAGCCCATCTGCCCGACATTCCCCAGGATGTTATAGCTCGGTGCCGGGAGAGATTGGAACAGAGTCCCTGTAAGGAGCTCTTCAATGACTGCACCAAGTAAGTCTTTAAATGCAATCTTCAACCCTACCCGCTGTGTTCAACTCTTCTACAACCCCAGTTGAAAAACAAACTTGAGACGTGTAAATGTAAATAAAAACAAAGTACAATGGAACATCGAATGTTTTAACTAAGAAATAGTGCCATTTTGCGATCTAAAAAAGGTACATTTGAATTTTATTGCAGCGGCAAATAAACCGGCAACTTTGAAAACAGTTTCCACACTCGTCGTCTGTCTGTTTGGACCTGTGTGTCCTGTCACTGATGGGACATTTGGCACCTGGAGCTCTGTAATATATCTATGCACGTACACCGGCAGAGGGGGATGTACGGTGGAATGAAAAATGTGCAGAGAAAGCATCCGGATGGCTGGCACGAAAACAACAGCCACCTCAGTTAGTTTTCCTCACACACACACACACACACACACACACACACACACACACACACACACACACACACACACACACACAGGTTGACAAACAGTGATGCAGGTGTTTCTGCTTCCTGCTTTGAGAGCCAGAAGAAGCAAACAGGCAGAGATCATTACACCCCAAACACACACTCGTGTATTACGATCGAACTTTGCCAAGGACATAAGTTAAGTCATATTTTGGGAAATGTGGAAACTAGTTGTCACATTTATATGGCAGTGATCAGTGCACTGGACCAGCTCTACACCCTCAGCAGGGTCCTGGAGGGTGCATGGTTTGAGCTGACGCAATACTGTGTTAGATGTGTTTTGTGGACTTGGAGAAGGCGTTCGTGTCCCTCAGGGACTCCTGTGGTGGGTACTCCAGGAGTATGGGGTACCAGGCCCATTGATACGGGCTGTTAGGTCCCTGTATGACCGGCGTCAGAGCTTGGACCACATTGCCGGTAGTTAGTCGGACTCGTTTCCGATGAGAGTTGGACTCTCTGCCCTTTGTCACCGATTCTGTTCATAACTTTTATGAAGCCAAGGTGTTGAGGGGATCCTTTTTGGTGACCTTAGGATCACATCTCTGTTTGGTCTACATTTTCTCCTCCTCTTGTTTGCTGTATGTAAATCACAGTTTTAGTTTTGACAACAAGAATATACAAAAATATGTTTCTGAAATGTTATTTGATACTGAACAACTTGGCATTGTGCTGCTAGATGTGATTTGTTTATTATCGTGGGGATAATGTTTGTCCCTTTGTGTTTGTTAGCAAAGTGTCTCATGAACAAGTGGACAATCACTGGGTGCACATTTAAAACAAAATGACTTTTGGAGACAATGCTAAGTGAGTTTCAACCAAATCATCTTTAATGAAGTAAAAACGAGGTGTTCGAAATCCTCTAAACTTGCTGAGTGAATTCTTCATCCAGTAGTTGTCTTCTAGAATATTTCTAATTGTGAGATCTCTAGAGGAATATTCTTCTGTGAAGTCTGAACACTAACAGTTAATTTGCTGCAAGTTTTACCTTTTCTTTTTTAGAGTTAATGTGAATAAGAGAAAGAGGAAACACACGATGGCCTGTTGGAAACCAAGTTCTCTAATAATAATAAAAAAGTTACCTACAGTCATGACTGATCACATGAATGATCAGCTGTGCTCTGAAAAACTAAACAGCCATATTTCAAGTTGCCAGCAACAGTTTATTTCTTACAGCTTGTTTGCTGGAAATGACTCCATGCTTCCACTTTTGCAGCTCAGTAGGCGGTACTTCAAAGTGTCCCTGGAAACATTTGCGTATACTCTGCTAAAAGACTTCCCGATCTCAAAGGCTTGCACTTAGAGCTGTCTGCTTGTGAACGGTTCACCTGGAAAGTTCACCAGCGCTCGGCATGAACTGGACTCCTGACTCCGCTTAAACTCAAAGTTGGGTGAAGCAGGGATTATAGTTAGAAACACATTCTTATACTTTTAGACCTCACTTTTCTTTTGGCATTTCACAAAAAATAATATATATATA